TGTCAGGGGTTTATCAGGGGTCTGTCAGAGGTCTGTCAGGGGTCTATCAGGCGTCCATCAGGGGTTTATCAGGGGTCCATCAGGGGTTTATCAGGGGTCTATAAGAGGTTTATCAGGGGTTTGTCAGGGGTTTATCAGGGGTCTATCAGAGGTCTATCAGGGGTCTGTCAGGGGCTTATCAGGGGTCTATCAGAGGTCTGTCAGGGGTCTATTAGGGGTCTGTTAGGGGTCTGTCAGTGGTCTATCAGGGGTCTGTCAGAGGCCTGTCAGGGGTCTATCAGGGGTCTGTCAGAGGTCTGTCAGGGGTCTATCAGGGGTCTATCAAGGGTTTATCAGGGGTCTGTCAGGGGTTTATTAGGGGTCTATCAAGGGTTTATCAGGGGTCTATCAGGGGTTTATCAGTGGTCTATCAGGGGTTTATCATGGGTCAGTCAGGGGTCTGTCAGAGGTTTATCAGGGGTCTGTCAGAGGTCTGTCAGGGGTCTATCAAAGGTCTGTCAGGGGTCTATCAGGGGTCTGTCAGGGGTCTATCAGGGGTCTATCAGAGGTCTGTNGGTCTGTCAGAGGTCTGTCAGGGGTCTATCAAAGGTCTGTCAGGGGTCTATCAGGGGTCTGTCAGGGGTCTATCAGGGGTCTATCAGAGGTCTGTCAGAGGTCTGTCAGGGGTCTATCAGGGGGTCTATCAGGGGTCCATCAGGGGTTTATCAGGGGTCTATAAGAGGTCTATCAGGTTTCTGTCAGGGGTTTATCAGGGGTCTATCAGAGGTCTGTTAGGGTCTATTAGGGGTCTGTCAGAGGTCTATGAGGGGTCTGTCAGAGGTCTGTCAGGGGTCTATCAGAGGTCTATCAAGGGTTTATCAGGGGTCTATCAGAGGTCTATCTGGGGTCTGTCAGGGGTTTATCAGTGGTCTATCAGGGGTTTATCAGGGGTCTGTCAGGGGTCTGTCAGAGGACTGTCAGGGGTTTATCAGGGGTCTGTCAGAGGTCTGTCAGGGGTCTATCAGGGGTCTGTCAGGGGTCTATCAGAGGTCTGTCAGGGGTCTATCAGGGGTCTATCATGGGGTCTATCAGGGGTCTATCAGGGGTCTATCAGGGGGTCTATCAGGGGTCTGTCAGGGGTTTATCAGGGGTCTATCAGGGGGTCTATCAGCGGTATGTCAGGGGTCTATCAAGGGTCTTTCAGGGGTCTGTCAGGGTCATCTGCCACACAGAGATAGGACTGTTCCTGCTGTAAGGTCGGCCCCCCAGCACCAGCAGCAGGTCAGGCAGATGTTTGCAGATATCTTCATCCTCCTCCTCCTCCTGGTCCAGCAGTTCCTCTGCAGTGCAGCTCCACTGCTTCTTCAAGGCTTGGTTTTCACACGTGAGATGTGTTCCCCTGTTCTGTGGACATGTCCCCGTCCCACTGGTCTGGTCCAGTTCTGCAGAACTGAGTCTGATGTTCTGACTGAAAGTCTTCAGCTCGATGTCACAGCGGGACCCCAGGAACACCTGCGCTGCAGGGGAGCACCTATTTCTGAAGGGTCTGTGTTTCTGGTCCTGCTGTGTGGGTTCAGAGCTGGACCAGCAGCAGGTGGGGGTGAAGCTGGGACCCAGGCCCGTGCAACAGTGGTGGATCTTATCTGGGGGGCTGGAGCAGGTCAGGGAGGCCACCTGGGTCCAGGTGTTTGTGGGGAAGCTGTACCTCCACAGACGGTTCTGTGGGAAGTTCTGAGTCTCCCCACCTCCAAACAGAAGCATGCTGTCCCTGTAGACCACAGCTGAGTGTCCCATCAGCCTGGGGGGTCCGGACCTGAAGACAACAACCACAGCAGGGTCACAGGTGGGGACACACACACAAGAGACACACACATAGAGACACACAGAGACACACAGAGACACTCAGAGACACACAGAGACACACAGAGAAACTCAGAGACACACACACAAGAGACACACACCGAGACACACACACAGAGACACACACACAAGAGACACACACCGAGACACACACACAGAG